AAGAAAAACATGTCTCTCCAGGGGAATTAGAATCTATTGATTCATTTATTTTATTTAACTTTTAGATTTTATCATTAGATTTTATACCTATATGTACAGTGGTGCTTTGAGCTAAATGCTAGCGTCAACATGCTAACATGATGCAGGTACTATGTTTAGCGTATTCATCACCTTAATGCATAGCACAGCTGAGGCTGATGTGGATTCCATCAGTTTTGCCAGTTTGGTCATAAACCTATTGGACAGATTGCACCTTTTTAATTTCTGCTGCTTGAGTGCAGATGTTTAGGGGAAAACAAACACAATGCAGTTGTTCTTAGAGCTGGAGCACCTAACTCAGATTCAGAGCAGAAGAAGCAAACCTGTTTCCTCCTATATGTTGTACTGAGAGATGAACAGGCATAACTCACATTATATTCTATCGACATCGATAAGAATGTGCCCTTTAGGTGACGAATCAACAGCTGCATGTTGTTGTTGGGAGTAGGACCTCACAACCTCATTGTGCTAGAACAAAGAACAAAGGTGCACTAGTTTGTCAAGTTGACATGATATGATGTGCCAGGTTTCAAAAACGGAAGTGGCCTGTCTGTGAAAGTTATGGGAACGACAGCCAACTCTCATTCCCACTGCACGATGTAACTGATGCGAGGACACTTTACTCATCCGCGCTTAGGTGCAGGAATCCAAACCATCCGGACTTCGAGACAAAAGAGGAGATGAGAAGTGACACATACACTCCGCCATCCTCGTTGTTGCTATGCTGCAAACAAACAGTGGATCATTTGAACATTGTTTTGAGACTATGGTAACTTAAAGGTGATGTGCTCAAGTTAAAAACAGTCGACGCTCTTTGTCTTTGCATTGAATAGAAACCGTCTCTCTATTCTTTACGGCTTAAAGAAGGAAACTCAGTTCAGAACATCACGGATGAAGTCTTTATGGCTGAAGGTAAACTCCCTGTTACAGTTCAGTCTGAGTCCACTTCACCAAACTTCAGTGCCACAATAACTGGTGATTTGCAGATTTATAATATATAGACGCATGAATGTCTCTTTGACATTTGCTACATACCTTACGTTAATGCAGTAGAGTGCACTGTAATTGTTACATTACATCATGACATACACATCACACAAGAATGAACAAGCTGCACCGTGACAGGAAAAATCAATGGGAATAGATTGTCCCGTCTCCCTTGCTAAAGTTCACATTTTATTTTACTGAGGAATCTTATCTTCAGTTTTACTCAATCAGTTTGAGTAAACAGTAGGGTTTTAAGAGTAGTGGGTGGAGTAGTATTTGTACTGAGTCATACAGTTCATTACTCACAATGCATAAAAAACACAAAGGACAAGTGTAGACGATCAAAGATGTACACAAAGTTAGAAGAAAAGCTCTCGTATTTTAGGATTCAACGGTCTAAATCAGGGGTTATTAGATCACGTGTGTTTATTGTAAGCCTCACTGTTACTGGAAGTTGTGCAGGCCCTTTGCTTTGAGTTCAGTATCACAGACTTTGTTCTCTAACCTCCCGAGAACCTAAAAATGAGCTTAATCTGGGTTTGAGGATCACATGAGAACACATAGATCACATGAGAATACAGTCATTACACGTCTTATTCATTCACCAAAGTAGTTACAATATAACCGAAAATGGTTGCATTGATACTAAAATACATGAAAAAGACAAAGTGGTAGAGTTTCTTGTAAGATTACAGAGAGGCTTTCAGTCAACCGTGTGCATGAATCATGAAGTTGTTTTTTAGTGAAGGCACCCACATGGTCTCCAGCCCATGAGGGCATGAACTCATCTGTTTTGCTCATTTGTCTTCGTCCTGCTGAACACAAAGCTGCATTTCAGAAGACAACCCAACCAGCAAGGTATTAGCCTGTTCCTCAACACATGTGCCATGATTGCCACTTATTAAGCTGAAAGGAGGTTTCAGCACAAACAGGTTGCATAGAACTGTTAATTCATTTACTAAGCATGTTGTCGTCTACAAACTGCAAACTCACCTGGACGTAAACATTATGTCTCCACAGTCTTTGCCTCTTTCTCCACCCATGACACAGCTGCAGCGCCTTCCACGGTTTTGTGTATTTATCTCCACTGATCTCCTCGTGGGAGGTTCTATTTTCTTGTTCTCAGTGAGGGTCTTAGTCTGGATGAGTCATTTTTCTCTCCGTTTTCATAATGTGGGTGCTGGCAGGCCCACTGATGAATACATAACAGTGATTAAGGTCTACACAAATACACTTGATGTGACTTGGTTTAGCTCATATAAGGCAAGAGAAACCTGGGACCCACATATTGAACATTTTACCCTTTAATAGAATTAAATTCCCCAAACCACAAGAGGCTTCTACAATGATTTATTTCATAAATTTCTTCCCTTAAAAAAGACATTTGTCAGAGCAAACTATGTTCAGAAGTCTAAGAGTCTAATACGAACAGGACTGAACTTTGATTTGTGTCAGTCACTTACAGTAAGGGAATAGTTTGACACTCCTACACGATAACATGATGGAAGATGAGAATATTGATACCACTCCCACGAGTACACTAAACATGAAGCTATAGAGCCAGTAAGCCGGTTAGCTTAGCTAAGCTTCGCACAAGGAGTGGAAAAGGTCTTGGCCAGGCTCAACTACATTCAGTTCTCCGCTGGTTGCCTGGCAAGTTCACAGTAACGGCCTGAACTCCAGGGCCTCGCCAACTACTTTACTATTTGATTGTTTTTATACTTACGTTTTTGTGCGCATAGAACAAACTATGTAGATACGTAAAACGTGTTGGTTAGAACTGAACTTTAGAGGTGTTGTTCGGTGGATTCTTTTTACCTGACAGAGCCAGGTTAGCCACTTTCCTCTGATCCAGTCTTCATGCGAAGCATCTCCGACTCTAGTTTAGTTTTGGGAGACTCGCCTGACCACTACGATCTGCAACATGTGTAAAAACAACATAGTCAAACTGACAGCATAATAGTGGTCAGATGCTATATCTGTGTCTCTTAAGTGTCTGTGATCTTGATTCCCATTTCTATAGGCGTTTGGGGAACAAACAGGGCCTGAGAGGTACTACTCACCAAACAGGGCCTGAGAGGGACTACCCACCAAACAGGGCCTGAGAGGGACTACCCACCAAACAGGGCCTGAGAGGGACTACCCACCAAACAGGGCCTGAGAGGGACTACCCACCAAAGAGGGACTGAGAGGGACTACCCACCAAACAAGGACTGAGAGGGACTACCCACCAAACAGGGCCTGAGAGGGACTACCCACCCGAGAACTGTAGACTACATACCTTCAGAGCTTTTTGTCTGTTTTGTGTTCTCACCACCAATAGGAATGCTCAAGTGACGTAAACCATTCAGCGCAGCTTGCACACGTCTTAAAACAGAAGAAAAAAATAGCCGTTATGAAAGTACTTTTTGCAATTTTTGTTTGAAGCTGCAGTCGTCTTCGGCTCAGTGAATGAGCTTTAAAACCTTTATGCCGCTAAGCAGGGGCTCAAACAGGTTTTTGAAAATGGTGGTTGCCGGTGCTGCATTGGCTCATGCGTTAGAACAATCTCTGTACACTCATGGATCTTTTTGTGCTGGGAGAGAACCTTGGTTGTTCCTAGTTCTTTGACGGTTCCTAGACAAAAGGAGGGTTCTTAGAACGAAGCTTTTAGAACGACGAAAAAGTTCCTCCAGTCAGAAAATGCCTTACGTAATGCAGTAGAGTATACACACAGTTCATAAGAAGCATGATTCAGTCCTGCCTTTGAGGGGTGAGAGGTGACCCCATGTGCCTCCCTCACATCCCCCCAGCTGACACCAGATGTTACGCTACAAGAGCAAGGAAATTAGCTAGAGCCCAACTCTGAGATGAGGAGGACACACATACAAAGACACGCACACACACACACACACACACGCATGCATGCATGCACACTCAGCCAGCCACACGTTTGCCCACACACACGAACACAGAAATCGCACAGAATCCTTTAAAGCGCTCTCTCTCATCCCTCAGGCAGCCCATGACGGAGGCCAAAACAAACAAAATGTACTTCGTACACACACACACACACACACACACACATGAATATACACACACAGGATACAGGACTGAGGGGGGATGTTGTGTATAATACGGTGAACAATGGAGTCTGACGAATTCCCTTAAATGGGTTAGACTGAAAATATGGAAAACAACCCTGGTTTGTGGTTCAAGGCCACACAATCTCCATGCTGCTGCCAATCACTAACAACTTCAGTAATTACAGGCTCATTGTATCTGGTTGACCCCAATGCCATTCAGATAAAATGAGCATTTAATGATATATCAAAGTATTCTATCTCTTACAATTCTCTTTTGCATCTAAAAGAGTAACTGTTTAAACAATCTAATTGTTTACACAGTAACAGCATGTTGCTATAAATGATTAATTACTGCAAATTATCATATTGCAAACTAGTGATTCCTAAAAGAAATCTAGTAGAATGTAAAATACATGACTGTGAGTTTAAATGTTTCATTTGGATCACCCCGACTGTAACCCAGCCTTATTATCATGGGTCACTGATGAAAAGTATTATTTACATACAGCTTATATAAATGTTGACTCATGGTGGAACACTAAAACAAGAATACGCCTTTTTCTGTTTGCATCGAAATACTGTTGGAATCCAGACTAGACTAGGCTGCAGGTACATATGAAAGCGAGTGCAAGTCGCACTAATCACAAAACAAAGAACACACTCAGAGACATCCCCACGGGCCAACCGAGCATCACACACAAGCGCAGAAAGACACACGCTGACACACACACACATTCCATAACAGTTTCCTCACAGGAGTGGAAAGAAACCGAGCCCTGGTCCTTAAAGGAAAACAAATGGAGGTTTTGCCAAGCCCCTGGCTGATCTTTAAAGGAAAACTCCCTCCTACCCTCTCCACTTCCCTCCTCCCAGCCAGACCCGCCCCCTGGTCCAGCACTATATCAAGAGCCTGCCTCCCTTTATCAAACTCCACAGTCCTGCTACAGTCTACAGCTGTATAACGGCCCTCTCTCCTCGTGTTCTCTCTTGACCAGCAGACAGTCAGCCATCATGTTTTACAACCAAAGCGTCAGCGGTGGTCCCCAGATGATCACCAGGCAGAGCCGCAGCTACACATCAAGTGCTGCTCCTCACAAGGCTCACAGTGTGTCAGGGTACAGCTTCAGAGGAAACCCACGTATCTCCTCTTCCAGCGTGCGCACCGTCTCCTCCGGGTATGGAGGCGGCATGGGTGGTGGCATGGGTGGTGGCATGGGTGGTGGCATGGGAGGCATGGGTGGCCAGCAGAGCTACGGATCATCCTCCGGAGGCTTCAACCTGTCCGATGGCTTGGACCTCCACGTCGGGGCCAACGAGAAGGCCACCATGCAGAACCTGAATGACCGTCTGGCCTCCTACCTGGACAAGGTCCGCTCTCTGGAGGCGGCCAACTCCAAGCTGGAGGTGCAGATCAAAGAGTACTACGAGCAGAAGGGGCCTTTAGCAGAGAGGGACTACAGCAAATACTGGGCCATCATCAATGACCTGAAGGACAAGGTAAAGTGTGTCTGCCTTGGAAGCTTAAAACCTAGACAAGTCAAATGTTTGCTGTGCTGTTAGTGATTATCAAGGGAGTGTTTTAAAAGGGTTAAGTAAAGTCAAGTGTGTCGACACACTGCATGGGAAGTTAACTGATATATTAGTGTGTAATTCATAGCAAACCAGTCTATGTAACTGCACAATGAACTATTAATTTGAGACTTTTTAACTTTGACACCTCCCATTGTTCTTCTTCTCCAAAGATTGCTAACGCCACCATCGGCAATGCCAACATCCTGCTCCAGATTGACAACTCCAAACTGGCTGCTGATGACTTCAGAACCAAGTAAGCAGGAATCTCCATACGACCGAGGCCCTGACTTAATCATGTTAATGTCACAACAAGAGGGCTTCAGGGTTATAGTCGTCTCTTATCTTTGTTATCTACTCTCAAAAACTAATCAGATTCGAGCATGAGCTGATGATGCGCCAGTCAGTTGAGGCTGACATCGCAAACCTGCGGCGTCTGCTGGACCAGACCACCCTGACAAAGGCTGACCTGGAGATGCAGATCGAGGGCCTGCAGGATGAGCTGGCCTACCTCAAGAAGAACCACGCAGAGGTGACTTAAGCACATCCTCGAGCTACACTGATCAATGTTCACGATGAGAACAGGAGCGTGCTTCATCACACCTGTATCACGACTGTTTGAAATGCTGCAAATTGATCTTAATGCTTTTTATCCTTCTTTTTTTGTTTAGGAGCTGGCAGCAATGCGCTCTCAGCTCACTGGCACAGTCAACGTGGAGGTGGATGCCGCACCCCAGGTAGACCTCAACAAAGTCATGGACGAGATCCGCGCCCAGTACGAATCCATCACTGACAAACATCGTCGCGACCAGGAGTCCTGGTTTAATGAGAAGGTGAAAAGACTTTTCCATAAACAATCATATTCCGCACATTGCAAATGACTGGGTTTACTCCCTCAAAAGTCTAACCTGTAATTAAACATAATGATCTGTGAAACTAAGATTCGTAATCACCAAGAATTCTTCTTCACAACTTCGTCTTTTGTTTTTCTTGCTCTAGTCGGCAACAATTTCCAAGGAGGTGGCCAGCAGCACGGAGACAATCCAGACGTCCAAGACAGAGCTCGGTGACCTGCGGCGCACACTGCAGGGCCTGGAGATTGAGCTGCAGTCTCAGCTCAGCATGGTGAGAACCCCCCTCCCCCCTCCCCCCCCGCCCAAAGAATGTCTTCATGTCTCACTGATCTTGCCTTATATGAGCAACATTCTCGGATCGCTGTCTTGTCTGTAGAAACAGACAGTGACCGAGGGTAAAAGAGCAGAAGGGAGAGGAACAGAAAGAGGCTTTATTGAAAGAACGAAGGGGGAGGGAGACAAAGATAAGAGGGATGGGAGCTGTGCAGAAGGGAGGGAAGGGCTCACTTTCTGGAAGACATAAAAGAGCTTGAAGAAAGCTGAAGGAATGCTGAACTGGATCACGCAAAACTTCGTACTCCCATGGATTATCTGTGCCCAGCTGGAGTAGATCATTTAACTCCCTGCTAGAACAGCTCACTGCTACACATGCAGTCAAAACCTGGCTCATATGCCTCTGCTAATCATTCCCTCATTAAAAGAAGTGATAATGCTTTACAAATACAGAAATGTTTTTGTGTCTGTCAGACATATAATCCAGGGCGTGGCTGGTGGTTGCAGACTATAGCTTTAGATTGTCACAAAGGATTTACTACAGTAAACTGGTTTGCAAGTGTGAACATCAAACGATGTGTCTGAATCGTGCATTGTCTTTTCTTCTGTTAACAGAAAGGGGCTCTGGAAAACACGCTGGGAGAGACGGAGGCTCGGTACAGCGCCATGCTTTCCGCCTTCCAGAACACAATCAACATGCTTGAGTCCGAACTAGGCAACGTGCGCTCCAGCATCGAGCAGCAGGGCCAGGACTACAAGATGCTGCTGGACATCAAGACCAGGCTGGAGCAGGAGATCGCGACGTACAGGAGCCTGCTGGAAACAGAGGAGTCCAGGTAGACACAATAACACAGGAGCATGGACTTATGAGGTCATTTAAACCAAAATGCACTAATTCATGTAGAAAATAATGCACCAATTCACTCACTGTTTTCCTCTGCTTTTCTCTTCCCTCCGACCCATTCTAGACCTCAAGGTAAGCCACGTATATTTTAACAAGACGTTACATAACAACAGTGAAGTCAGTGTAATACAAGCTTGAAGCTCTGCCATCATGATTTTCTTTCCTTCTTTTTCACAGGAGGCTCAAAGACAGTCACTACCACCACTGTGCGCAGTTCCAGCTAAGAGGTCCAACTGGCAGAACAAGCTGTACTCAGAATCACACACACACACACACACACACACACACTAATAAAATCTGTTACACGAGATGAGTGAAACTGTGCTGAAAACAGCTGAGATATGTTGAAAGTAAGCCCGTGTTAAAGTCTACAACAATTGCAATTTGGAAGAAACCCCTTTGTGTGTGTGTTTGTGTGTGTTTGTGACCTGTCTGAAAAATAAATCTGCTGGTGGAAACAAATTCTGTTTCGTGACTTTACTGGTCTTTCAGAAACAGTCGACATCTTTCTCAACAACATTGCTCTGTTTGTGCGGTCATCATGGCAACAGCATTACATTCGGGGAGGTGGGATGCGGAAATCTATGTTACGTAACGGGGGCTGTGGTCAGGAAAGGGGGAACAATGGTTGAGCCCTCGTGTGGAAAGCATTAGGATTTAGATAAACGACCGCACAGAGATGTTGAACTTTAAGAAAAGTGCCGTCCCTGACCAAATAAAGTGAATGAGCCTGGGCTTTGCCCCAGGAGGGTTTTTTAAACAAGACACACCCAAATGGTTGACCAATCTTTGCCCATGGGGGCTTTCAACACAGTGTTACATGACGTCTGTGCAACTCATGTCACCTAGTAACAAGAACACACACTCAGGATAGAAATACTGAGTGGAAACGCAAACACTCACTCACTGAACAAAGAGAGTCGTTGTGCTATCAGTGCTGCACATTGGCCTCATTTATGAACGATGATTGATTGCAAATGACCAATGAGTTGTCATGATAAAATGTATCCTGAAGGGTGCGGCTCCTCGGATGATGGTGACTTAATACATAGGTGCTATGTTTTTATGGTATGTTTAGTGTGAAAGAGAGGAGGCAGGGAATTGTTCTGTCGGTGTGGTGTGTGGGAGAAGAGCGAGAGAGGCAGAGTATCATTTAAGCCTTTGCACTCTGTACAGGTCAGCAGCTACAGCTTCTAAAATGACAGTGAAATCCTGTCAAGAGTTCAAAATTCTCAAGTGATAGCGTAATGTTGGTTTCGGAGAAGAGAGCGATCATAGAGAGGATCAGATTGCAAAACCCACCCTCTGAGGAGCTTCACTCACTCATATTTGGACCCGCTTTGTTGCATATCGGCTTCTACTCCACACTGTTATACCGATAGTTGATGACGAAGCCCTTCCAGTTATGCTTGTAATTTGACATGAAAATCCAAAGCAGAGATGATAAAAGAGATGTAACAACAGGCCATTTTCCCCAGATGAACGTTTAACGCAGTGGGCCCGTCGAGCGCTAACTGCAAAGCAATAACTAAACATCTGTTTACGAGCAAACTAAAGACAAACCTCATGAGTTCTTCAACACTTTCTGACATTTTAGATGTTGGATGTTGCGCATTTCTGTATTTCTAAGTCTTTTCCTATGTTTTAAATGTGCCATGATGGTACTTGTTTCAGTTCTTTCTGTATGAGACACAGTACAACTGCTGAAGTTTATATGCACGGCAACGTTCATACATTTTAAACCAGAATGTCAACAGACTATATTGTCCAAAGGTACTGTGTTGTAAAAATGTGGGTAGGAAATAGAACTTATTACCTTTTAATCATTGCAGTCGATTCTCTCCAAAAATGCAGCTTAACATTGATGAAGTTAAGGAGCTGGTTCATTTCCAAAAGCTCACTGTCTGCATCTTCACTCGTATAGTTTTTTTTAATGGAAATTATCTATATCACTGTCAGTTTTATGAATGATTGCTAAACACCACCTCTCCGACATAAAGGATTTCCTTCAATTTGTTCAGGAGCCTCTGGGTGTAATAACAAGCTGTCATCATCAAGACTTGACGATGGATTTGATGAATAAGGAGATTAGGGGAAGACGTAAAAGAAGCCGACGCTGAGTAGCAGTTAGTTTATTATTTACAACATGAATAGGCAGACTGTCTGCACGTGGCTGCAAAAAACAATATGATAGGGAGCGGCGCCAAAGTTGCCAAAAGTCACTTCTGTATTTTCTCCCTGTCGTGGCTGTCTGCCATCCAATGCCAGCCTGAGGCGGGCAGAGAGATCAGACAGGAAAAGAAGATGTCTTGAAACACTTGACATTGAGTTCAATTTAGTTCAACTAATGACAAGTTCAGGATACTTTGAATTCTTTCTGCTTTCTATTGAAACTAGTGAAACAACAGGGACTTTCGCACATTGTGCGTAACCTTTCTTTGTCCGGTAACTGAATCCCTGTGAGCTGCAACTCACAGCGTGCTTCTTAACAGCTTATTTAATACAGTACGCTTTAGAATTCCTGCACAGAAAATAGCAATACTGTATAAATAAAGGAATAGTTTGACATTTTGGGAAGAACACTTATTTTCTTTCTTGAGAAGATTAGTAACAATTTCAGTTCTGTATGCTAAATATGAAGCTACCAGTAGCCAGTTTGGGCTTAGCTTAGCACAAAGACTGGAAACGGGGGCATAGTTTGTTTATGAGCTTCAGTTTTTGTATTACAGTTTTGATTGATTGAATTGAGAATGTCAAAAGTCCAATCAGATATAATGCCCTGAATGTGGGCCTGCTGTATTTCAATGTGGACTTTTACCAAATCACATTAAGCTTATCAGTGAAATGTTTAGTTAAGAATTAGCCATATCTGCAACGGTTAAACCAGATGCCGACGCCCATATCAGCAGGAATGTTGATGCGGAGAGAAGGAACATTCTTCACTCGACTGGTGGACTCTATTCTGGAGCAGTGTTAGGTTTGACACACAAGCTGAGAGGAATGACTAACCTCTTTGCTAAAGGTCTGAGACGCAGTATGGCATCAAACCATCAAAAGTTTTCAAACTGCGCCCGAGCTGTAGCGAGACGTAGGAACAGTTGAGAGGTAGAGAGTGGAACAAGACCAAACACACTTCAGGGGCTTTCAGGCCCTGCCAAGCATGAGATAGATGGCTTTTTTTAATCCACTTGCATGGATGTGAGTTTGGCCCATAAAAACACAGTATCATCCCCTATATAAGAACGCATGCGGCTCTGAATCACAGGATGGTGAAAGGTTGGAGTTAAACAGGCAGGGCCGGTTTGACGAACCACACCCTACATACAATCGCAAGATCCTGAAGACAGGACGGACTTACTTGGGCAGGGCTCATTCTAAATACAATGCATGCTATCATGAAAGAGGGATTTCTTACAAAGAAACTTAAATCTGTTGCATTTTTCTGTTTGACTTTAAAAGTAAGTATTTACTTTTAAAGCTGTGTGCACTGGAGCATATCCCAGCATGCATTTGGGTATATACATATAATGTGTTTTTTAAAAAAAGTATTCTGTTGAAATCCCTATAAAGATACGTAAACCCCAGAGAGAAATACCCAATGAAAGAACCACTCATGAAAACTGCTCAGAGGCAGAGTGAGGCACAATTTCCTGACTGCTACTGAGTGTAAACACCTACTGTATGACTCTGGTTTTCCAAACTCTGAAAGCTTGTGTGAATGTGCCCAAAAGCCTCATGATGAAATATAACTAAAGTGCCTTAAAAAGGCAGTAGTAACTATAAACTTGCTGTTCTGTATTTAGCACTTCATAACCAACATTAGGAAGGGGAAAAAGCTCAACAACAAGCCAAATGTATAAGTGAATAAACATAATAAGGGCAACTACAAAATATACTAAAACAAAACATTGAAAAATACAATAGGTAGATATTGGCACAGAACAGTAAGCAGACAGAATATTGAGCTTTAGTTCATTTTGGCTACAGACTGAACTGGGCAACTCCCTTTACTTTTAAAAGATGAAGCGCTACTGCCACCAAGTGCTGGTTTCCTGTACATACAAGAATGAGTTTGTTATGGTCAACAAGAGAGACACATTTTAGAAAGATTAGACTCCTTATCAAACCCATAGAAAAAGACAATTGCTGCACCTTCTTAAATATATGCAGGCGCTTTCCAAAATGAACATCGTAATTCAGCAGATTGCACTTTCTCAATATTTTGGCAATTCATAGAGAATTTGCTAATGTGACATTTTGATGGAAACCAGAGGCAGAAATATTGATTTCAAAGGCGGTAGGTGCACAAATCCTTAAAAATAGTCTGTAGTTTTTTCATATACCTACCCAAGGTAGAACAAAACACAAGCTTTTTAAAAATAATTTTGCCGAAGATGGTCGTAATAAAAAAATCTTTTTTACATCAAAATACAGAAAAAAGTGAAGAAAATGAACAATATATTGACAAGCCCCATTGGTGAAAAAGTGCAGAATAAAGCCACCTTTTCAAAATAAACTTCAGATCATATATTATGGTATGTTGGCTCAGTTCAGGCCATCACATTGATTAATACACTTTGTACAAAAACAATCGAGGTGGTGCAGTAAAGCCAACTGTGTAACGTGAAGAGTAAAATGCATTTGTTCATCTTAATATGTAACAAAGTATGCTTAACCAGGCCCAGCCCACATATCAGTATCTGCAGCTGCAGTCCTGTGTTGGTTATTGACTTTGGACAGCAGGGGCCGTGGTTTCCCCGTGTCTGCGCTGCACGCGCTGAGCATGGATTGGAGGGTGAGAGGTCAAGGGGGCGGCGCTTGGGGAATACAGGAAGTAAACATGACCACGATATTTCGCTAAACTGACTGGCTGTTGCCGACGTTGAGCAGATTAATGAATGCTGTCTACGAGTTATTTAGCACAGAACAGCAGTGTGCTGGTTGGATGTTATCTGATGTACTTATCAGAATCCACGTGTTGTGTAATGATTGAGTTTTGGATTGCTGATGCGCGTGGAAGGAAAACAATCGTGTGTGCTAACAATTTACTGCTTGAGCAAGGCAAGTTATGATGATTTAGGATTTGATGCTTAGTATATATATATTTGTTTAATGGTTTTGTCGGATATGGAGCCGTTTTGTTTCCTTCGAATAGCATCCAAGTTCGATATGCACAAATACTGCATCATTGTTGTATTATACTATGACTTTTTTCATAGTATACCATGGCATTTTTCGACATGCTTCACTGTCACTTTTTCCGACATACTACTATCACTTTATAGATATACCATATTATTTTTTTTTGTCCTACTATACTATTCCTCTTTTTAAAGGTACACTATGAATTGTTTCGACATACTATACTATGGATTTTTTTTTTAAATGCAACATACTATTCCATATTTTTTATAATACTATACCATTCATTTTTTTTGTCAAACTGTACTATGACTTATCAT